TCTAAATGTGGCATTCGAGGACTTTGCAAATCTACCTTCCCTGACTGTCTGAGGGTAAGTTTCCTGGTTCTTCCTAATCGTACAACCCTGTCACAGCCTGCCTTTGATCCAAGGTAATTGCCTTGTATTGTAATTTATGTTTGAGAGTCTGATTCCCTGATATGGTCCTTCTTGAGGCCAGAGACTGATGAGGATTTAGGAGGTGTTTGGCATCTCAAAGAATTGGAACACATGTCTCCTGGTTCCAGTTAAGAGTTCCTTCTACCACAGTATACTGCTACAGACAGCGATTCTGAACAAAGAGACCTTGGTCTGCCTTCAGGAACAGGATCAGGCAGCCCTCACTCTGCCACCAGTCCTGAGTCCTTCACCCCTTCCACCTCCTCCTTACCTACAAGGGTGCCCCCACAGAAGGGCTGCCCATTTGGGTGAGACAGCATGGCAATCCAGGGAGCGGTGCCCTTCTGGGCTGGGCGTCCATTGAAGATCCTGGCCATCAGCGTCTGGGAGAACTTGGGAAGACCACACACTGCAGCCAAGGGAGGAAGGGACAGATCATACTCTGGGCTCCATCTTGCCCATTTCCAGGGTTACCAGTTTATCACCCTTTTAGGAACACCTGTTAGTTTTGATGAACCAACATCTGTGGCCCACTCTGATAATGGTACCATGAGTTTTCTTCAGGGTCCATTTTTTGGTCTATGTAGCCTAAGTTGGACTGACTTCACCTCTGGTTTCAGGGAAGAGAATTGTGACTGATCAAAACCCTGGATCCCTTGATCACAGCAATTGCTTAGAGATGGGATGTGACCTTGGCCAAGCCAATGAAAGCCTAGCTTCAAAATTTTGCTAAACATACTAGAAAAAGAGAAAGTCATTTTCTACAGGGGTTGCTTGGCTGTTGGCCATAAGCCCACACCTGCGGGTGATACTCTCATGAAGAGTTCGCTGAGTAATTCTATTCACCTGGAGGACAGCGGAACTGGAAGACTAGGGGAGAAGAGAGAGATTGTCTTCCGATTTTTTGAGCCCTTTGAACTAACCATATTGAGACCGTTTGGTAGAACCTCTTCATTATGGGAACCTATACACTCTTTCTTTTTCTTCTTATGCTGTTTATATTGCATTTCTGTCATTTAGAAATGAAAGTTCTGACTAATAAAGGAACTTCATGCTCTAACTGCAGAGGCCTATTCTCAGAGAAGCCCTACAAGAAGTGTCTGCCTGCTCCATCCCCTGTCTTCCACTAACCTGAATTCCCAAACATCCATGTACATCACAGCCTGACAAAAATCACAGATCAATATGCTGCAACCTTGACTGAATCTCCAGCATCTCCCAGTGTCATTCTCTGTACCTAGATTCAGCCACCTCAATGGAAGTCCTGTCCCCCTTCCTACCGGATGCTCAGAAGTCCATTGGGTGGGAGCTCCTCGGTTGTCCTCCTCCCCATATCCTCCTCCTGTCAACTTTTCTTCTCTTCATAACCAATCCTGTGCTCTGGATCTCCTCACTTAACTCTCAGGGACCTGGCCCAGCTCCTGTATTTTCCAACTCTGCTTCTCCTCTGCCTCTAAAACATGGTCAAGCATTTTCATCCTAAAAACCAACTTCCATTTCCCTGCTTCTCTCTCGTGCCACAGCCTCTTCTTTTCCCTTCCATAGTCAAGCTTCTGCACAGAGGGGTGGATGCTCAGTCTTCCCTCTCCTTTGGAGTTGGATTCAGAAGAAGGAAGTGCCCCATACTACACAGACTTAAATTTTATCTGATGTATTCTTCCTACTAGGCATTAGTTCTCCTTGTCCTGTGATTCCCCAACCACTGAAGCTGGGATACCCATCACATTAGGGGAAGAATGGATAGGCTTTGGCTTTTGAAAGAGCAAAGCCTAAACCAATGTCTAAGAAAGAGACTTTTCATTTGCAGAGGTAGGGATTGTGGTAAGAATAAAAACAAAAACAAAAGCAAACAAACACACAAAAACGTGTAGGCTATAGGGAATTAAAACCTGGGGGACTGAGTGCATAATTTTTACTGTACGTAGAAGCTCTTCTTAGAGCCAGTGAAGAGTCTGGAGGAACGGAGGAGGGAAACACCCTGGGTGGAGGGACAATGAGAGAAAGACATAATGCAACTGGGGGTCCTGTTCTCTGTCCTCCCTGAGATGGCCACTGAGACTTGGGCCTGTGCTGGGGAACATCCACCCCAGGGCCTTCTCCGGGACCTTCAGCTGTAATGCATGCCCTTGAGCTCTTCACCCTTCTTGACGATTTCCTGTCCCTGGATTCTGAATACTTTTCTTCTTGTTTTGTTTCCCCCCTCTTTCTTTTTTCTTTTCTCTTTTCTCCCTCCCTACTTTTTTTTTGGTCCTTTCTTTTGCTCTGTTTCTTTCTAGGGGCGTCTCTTCATGATCTCTATGCTGGTATTTGCCTTGTTGAGCCCTTAGGCTCCTTTTTGTTTTCTGCACATTTCCAATAGATGAAAATCCACCCCTCTGCCATATTCTACCTAAATGCTAATGAATTTCATCTCAGTGTCTTTAAATCTGCCTTCTTTCTCTGGAACTCACTATTCTTTACTGCCTACTTAAACTCTTCAAAGTTAAAGATGCTAAGCCCTGTTCACCAGCTTTCATGAACTTTCTCCTCTTGTTAGCCAGACCTCTGTGAATGTCTGCAACAACCACATTTCTGTTGCCTCCCTTTTCTTCTACCCCCATATGAAGTCAGTCCCTAAGTTGGTGTTGAATCACTAGGAGAAGCAGCCCAATGCCTCATCCCCATCCATGTCCCAATATTCTCCATAGAACCTCAGCGTCTCGGTATGTCACAACATAAATTCCAAACATCTAGAAGAAAACAAGAATCTGAAATGTAATAGAACACCGGATATGATAGTCCTTGAAACCAGCAACATACGAAGCATGAAGTCTAATTTAGGATTCTTTTAGTTCTCAATAGTGTAAAAAGCATGACACAAAAATAAATGATACAAACCCCAAACAAAGGCAAGACGTGTGTGTCCCCTGGAGAGCCCTCACTCTCAGGTTGACTCATATCAACCCCTGCACCCTAAAGCTTGCACAATCTCAAGAGATGCCTAAGGCCAACCTTTACTGGGAATACAACCTAAATGGATTTAAACTTCTGACCTCATGTTTGCACTGTCACAGCTCCTTGGTTTGGTGGGTTCTCCCCATCTCTTGCCAGGATAGTCTCAGTAGTTTCCCAGCCACTCTCCCTAGCTCAGTCCCTTTCCCTCCACTTTCCACATCACACCACCTGCTCTCAGACCTGCCAAATTCTCAATTTTCAGTGGGTGAGACCCAGCAATCTACATTCATAACAAGCACCCCTACCCCATGATTCTGATTGATAGACTTCAAACTTAGAAAATCCCTTGTCACAGGACAGAGTGCAGAGTACAGCTTTTAGATTCTTTCAACTCCTTCGATGCACACTGCTTCCACTCCAAATGTGGCTCACTTTCCTGGGTTAATAACATTGCCGACTCTGCCTCTTCCTGCCCATCACCAAGTACATCTTTGAAGTTTCTGCAAAGCCATTCTGATCCCCTCTAGCTGTATGAAATCACATCTTCCTTTAATTAAGTTCCCATGATATTTAAATAGCAATTTCTCTTATATGTCCACCTCCTTTTGCCTGTTTAATACTTAGATAAACACAACTTTGTCTCCCGCGCTAGTGTGAGCTCTTTGAAGCCAAGGACTCAAATGACAGGCACTTAAATGGAGGAGCGTGCACCCTCTGAGAAGGGAATATATCAATAACAAAGTCCTCTCTTTGACACTTCTTCTTGGGTGATGCCCAGATGCCATAAGTGTTTTGTTTTTCCTGTAACAGGGGAAATTTTGGTTTAATGAGGGGGCCAATTTAAAAAATCAAAACAAATGGTCACACTTCAACAACATTAACAAAACTCCCAAACTAAGGCTATTGGTTATCCACAGAGGGTTTATTTCCACTTTGGACCCCTGACAGCTGAGACAGAGTGCAGAGGCCCCTTACAGAGTAGCAAAGCATGTGATATTAAATATACAAAATATAGCATTCTCTACATGCACCATTCATAGGTATAGGAGTGTGTTTTTATGAACTGACTGGGAAAGTGAACATTTCCCAATTGTTCTCTGGCTGCATTTGTCTGATGAAGATTCCCAGGGAAAAGAGCTCTGAGGGGGCACAATCAGCCTGTGACAGCCAGAGACAGGCTTCTGGCAATCAGAGAAGTGCTGAATGCAAGAGATGGAAAAACCCTAAGGGGCTCTTATGACTTCCCTTGCAGATAGGGGAACTGAGGCTCAACGGGAAAATGATTTGTCAAAGGATTTATAGCCAGTGCCAGTTGGAGACAGAGACAGGGCTAGAAACCAGCATTCATGGCTCTCCCCTCTTTTCACTGCCACCAATGAGTCTCTGCTTCCCTTGATCTCTGGTTCCCAGAAAGCACAGGACTGGATCTCTCTGAATATCCTGCTGGGTAATTCTCTGTTGAGCTAGGTCCCATGGCTATAGAGCAGGACATAGGTGAATCTTAGAGTCCTGAGTTCACCCTTTCTTCCATTTTCCTGTCCAGAAGCACAGTGGGATACAGTGTGCACCTTCTCTTTTCCCCAAGTAACAGCCAAGTCTCCACATTTGCTCTCAGGGCTCAGGTAGTCTTTTCAGATGACTCATTTCAGGGATGAAAGGTTGCTTCTCACTTGTCTGGAGTGGTACATATTGACAGCCTGGGATGTCAGCCATTCAGGAGTGGCATGTGGGCCCAAGTGATGTTCTGAGCTGAAAGTAGGAATTCAAGGGGCTTGGGGACCCTCCTACTGCTATTGTCTTCCTCAGTCACAGGTTTTCTCTTTGTCCTTGACATTTCTTTAATAGGGAATATAAAGGATGAAGCTTGGACTGGAAGAAGGTTGAAGAGGAATCCTAGGAGCAAAAGTGCTCCAAGTTATTTTACTAGAGAGGAAGGCCCCCAGGTTTATGATCTCTATCCCCCAAACCTGAATGGTTTTCTCCTAGAGGAGGGAGTGGATTTGATATAGGCCCAGAGTGCAGAGCTGGGTCAAAATATGAATGCAGAGTTAAGTTCAATGCAAGGAATCATTTCCTAATAATCAAGCTCAAATATACCAACAGTGGGCCCAATAGGTTTGATATATAATTAGGAGTGAATAAAGGCCATGGTATAAAGCTTGCCAGAGAGGAGTGCTAGATTGGCCCAGAGGTCTTCTGGTCCAGCTTTCCCATTGTATTGCTGGAAAGAGTGAAGGCCAGTGAGGGGAATGGAATTGACCATGGTCGTGGACCCTGGTCTCTTGCCTAGAACCTTTTCCTTATACAACACTGCTGCCTCTCAGGGTCCTGGGGTCCATCTTAGGAGGATGAGTGCCCCAGTAGGTCACTGTGTTCCATTCTATTTGGTCTGTTAAGTAACATGGAGTGTGCTGTTGGAGGTGTGTGGTGTAGTCTCACTTGAGCTGGGGCAGGGTAGACAGACCCTGAGGAAGTAAGTCAGCTCACCGCTCCACCTGGAGCTCTCCCAAACCTTGTGAGGAGCCCATCTGCTCCCACAGCCAGTCCACATAGTTGGAGACCTTTGTGTAGACTCCATATACCTGCTTGCTACCACATTCTTCAGGGCCTCCCCAGGATACAAGGCCTTGGGCCACCCAGTGCTGGCTCAAGTCATCAAGGATAACAAAGGCCCCGCCACTATCTCCAAGGCATGTGTCCTTGCCACCTTCATAATAGCCAGCACAGAACATGTTCTCTGTGACGCTGTAGTTGCCTGAGCGGGACTCATAGCTGGCTTTGCACTCAGCATGCGGCACCACGGGTAACTTGACGTACTGAAGGACATCGGACAAGGTTCGCGTGCCACTGCTGATGATCTCATCCACTGTCACATTGGGATTGGAAATGCCCCAGCCGGCCACCAGGCCAAGCATGTGGGGGACTGGGCCTTCAGGCTCAGGCCTTGGCAAGCAGATAGGCATGACGTGGGGTCCCAGGGGTACAGGCTCCTGCAGCTGCACCAGAGCTATGTCATGATTGTAGTTCTGGATGTTGAAGTCTGGGTGGAGCACCACTCTGGAAGCTGAGCTGTTGACAGCTCCTGATTTGTCCCGAACGTCATGCAGGCCCAAGTAGACAGTGACATGCTCCTTGGAGACCGGTATCACTGTGTTGTCTCTGCGCTGTGAACGCAGCACGTGAGCGGCCGTGAGAATCCAAGACTCAGAGAGTAGTGCTCCACTCCCGAACCACTTGTCATTTGGTACCCTTGAGGTGTCCTCTACCACTATCAGAGCCTGCCATGGAAAGAGGCCAGGCTCAGCATTCCGGCCTCCAATGATCCGCTTGACCAGATTTGGCAGGGAGCGGGAGGGCTGGCCACACACTATAAGGAGAAGGAGGGAGTGGGGACAAGAGACAAAGACTGGTTAGGACTACCATTTGAAAAGAGCCACTAAGAAAAATTCATATCTTACCCATTGTGGATTATGCCACCGTGGCACCCTAACCTGCCTGAGTCATGTTAACCTGGGAGAGCTCTGTCCTGGGACAGTTTGTATCTAGGTCTCTATAGGATGGCCCATCTCCCATAGAGATGACAACCCAGTAGTTGGAACCTTCTCTGGACCAGATCATTTCATGCTTGGGCCATCTCTCTCTTGAATTACCACCTCTGGCTATGATTACTTTTGGCCTGGACCATCTTTAGCCAGGACTATCCCTAGCAGTATCCACTTATCCTCTTTCTTCCCTAAAAAGGTATTTCATATCCCAGAAGTTGTTCATACTGTGGGCACTTGAAGAACTTCTACAAGTTTTCTCTCCATCTTCATGGGCACAGAGAAATGGAAGTATTATAAAAGACAATCTAGCAAGCTCTAATAGTTATTGGACTGGGTACCAAGATGCTTGGAGCCTTTACCTGGCCTTTCTATTTCCATGCTACTTTGAATCAGAACGTTTTCTCTCTTAATTTCAGTTTTTGACTCGCCAAATGAAACAGTTGGTCAAGATGATCTTCAAGAATTTTCAAATTACAAATTCCTTTGATTTTTATTTCATTTTCCCTGACTACCCCCAGTTTATGGATGAAGACAGTTAAGAGACTATCCCAAGAGGACATAGTTATCAAGTTGGATAGTAGGGTCTTAAATGGATTCTTAAGACAGTTTACATATTAAGACCCTAGTTGTAGACCCTCAAACCTTTTCTCATCTGGCTAAAGGACTCATTGATGCCTGTGTATTAAGTCTCAGAACATAGTATGTAGGGGAAAGGTGGCATAATCCACAAGCAATGATGCATGGGCCCTATTTGGACCACACATCATTGCACCCAGGAGCCCTGTAGTACCTTCAAGGGAAGGAGAAAGGTCTGAGCAAACTTCATTCCACTGAGTTGTACCCCGAGCATGCACATGCACCACCGGCCTCCTGCAGCCAAGTGCCTCTGGCTCATGAGCAGTGGGTCTTCAGAACTAGCCCTCCCACTGGCTAAGAACAAGCACACAAGGACAGGGTGCTTTTGTCTGGGAGGTAGGTCTGGTGTGTGAAGGTCCCCTTATGGTTGTAAATGGCCAGACTGTACTCCTTGGCCCTGGATATTCTCAACAATCCTTCAGAGACCAAGGGACATTTGAGTTTTCTTGTATCTTGGTGACTTTGGGAGGGAGGGTTTTCAACAGCCTAATGTTATTTGGATGCTGACAACAAATGCTTCTTGTTTGATGCTGGAGCACTCTGACATTCACCCCAGGTCAGATGTAGATGGGGCTTTGTAACTCTCTGTGACCTGGCCTTTCAAGGTTAGCCTCCCATTGGAAGCTGCAGCCTACAAGGTGATATCTCAAGGCAGGTCTATGCCTGGCCTGTGTAACAATTCTCTTAGCACTGAAAGATCCTCATCTGGTAAGGCACACCTCTGTAGCTCAATTCATGGTCACTACAAAGCCCCTGGCCAGCACTGAATGGTACCTTCCTCCAAAGAGGCAAACCCCAGGTCATAGAAGGTCAGAACAGAGCAACCTCTGAGGGTAGCTAATTTACAGATGGAAAAATAGAGGGTTAGAAAAGGCCAATAATATACTCAAAATCATTGGTGGTAGAGAAAGAAGTAGAACCCATTACTCCTGACTCCAGCTTCTTTTTCCTCCTTGATATGCCCTTGTCTTTTCATGAGGTTGAATGATACAACAAGTCTTTGAAAGAGATCATTGAAATGGGGTCATTCTTGATTTTTTTTTAAGATGGGGCCTTGCCATATTGCCCAGGCTGGCCCCAGACTCCTGGGCTTAAGCAATACTCCTGCCTTAAAAACCTGTGGGTCACTGGAACTATAGGGCATGCCGCTGTACCCAGCTGAAATGCAGTCATTACTGGCTGTTGCCCTTCTCCTCCCAGACTTTTCTGAGACAAAGGACTATTCTTGAAATGGTATAGCTTTGGCTGTGCTAAAGCCAGATTTGGGCTACAGGATGGTAAGCACTGAAGAAGGACCCTTAGAATAAAAAGGTGACATTCCAGGACTCTGAGTGCATGAGGATGGCATAAAAAATGACTGACTCAAAAAGAGCTCAACATTGTTGATTGTTATGGTTTAGATGTGAGGTGTCCCTGAAAAGCTCATGTGTGAGACCATGCAAGAAGGTTTGAAGGAGAATTGATTGGGTTATGACAGCCTTAACCTAATCAGTGAATTAATCCCTGATGGAATTAACTTAGTGGTACCTGGAGGCAAGTGGGATGTGGCTGGAGGATGTGGGGCATTGGGGTTATGGCTTTGAGGTATATATTTATATCTGGTGAGTGAAGTCTCTGCTTTCTGATCATCATATGAGCTGCTTCCCTCTGCCACACTCTTCCACCATGATGTCCTGCCTCACCTCAAGCCCCAAGGAATGGAGCCAGCTTTCTATGGACTAAGACCTCTGAACCTGTGAGACCTCAAATAAACTTTTCCTCCTCTACAGTTGTTCTGGTTGGGTCTTTCAGTCAGAGCAGCAAAAAAGCCAACTAAAATACTTGTGTTGACATAAAAATTTCAGGATCATCCTCCAGTTCTGCTCCTAAGTCTCTGGAGGAAACCTTGCACAAATCATTATACCACTATGATCCTCACTTTTCTAAGTTTTATCTGAAAAGCAAAGGGGCAGCTCATATTTGCTTAGTAGGCCCCCCTGAAAGGTTATGGTGCTAGATAAAATGGCTTTCTTTCCCTCCTGGTTTGCATCTCAGTTCCATGTCTCAGTATTTTGAGAGGAAAGAATTTGGAAATTTCCAGCCTGATCCAATGGTACATGGTAGTTTGGCCAACTCTAGGTGTTAAGAGAATTTCATGACTCATCGTATCCCAGATCCTTTGTATAAACATAAAGAGTAATAACCATTACGAGTCATAGAATGTGGTGTATCTCAAAGAATGTGTGGCTCCCTTACTTCTGAGGTGTGGAATCCATTCCTAGAGAGGCGAGATTACTTACTAAGGATGATAGTTAGGAAGCAGCAGCACCGGCGTACCACCCAGGCCTGTGACTCCTAGCCCAGTGCATTTCCCTTCTGAGTGTTGCAACATGGCCTCCCAGGATGAAATCACCCCTGGTTTCCTTTGTCTGACATTAGTTTTTTAGCAAAAGAGAAAACTGAACCTCTAGTTTACCACATCTCCACTATTCTTTTCTCTGAAGCTTCACCACCTGGAGTCCTTGAGTATGTTCATGGCCAAGCCAAACTGAGGTGAGTGGGAGAGCATAATGGGACCAAGATGACCTTTCTTTCTTTCCCTCTTCACAGGTTCTTTCTTAGGCATGAGACCTCTTATGTGAAGTCTTCCTTCCTGGTGCTCACCTCTCACTATAAAGTGTAGTCAATTCCTCTTTCTCTGGGATCCCATGGCACCTGTGATGGCTGAAAACTGACTCTCAAATGTAAATATGTTCTTCACTTCATAAGAATCAATGGTAGAGAACTCCTGGGCCTTCCATTTAACATCTAACCTAACATCTAGAAGCCCACCGAGTGAATGTGTGCCATTTCCCTTATACTCTTAGTTTACCCAATGCTGTAATTCAGTGAAATACAAAGGCTACTCAGCTTCAGCATACTACGGATAAAATAAGCCACATTTCTGTCCACTTTTTCATTTGAGTCTCACAATAGCTCCTGCTGTTCATGCAAATGTGCATATGGAATCAGAGAAGGATAATTAATTTTCAATTTTTTAATGCTACCTGGAATGATGTATCATTTAATTAGTGCTATACTTGATTTTTTAAAAAAATTAAATATGTATAAATTACTGTGTTGTAAATATTACATTTAATTTTTGTGAGTTATTTGTTTAACCCTCCTGTGTGCATTTTGGGGCTATGATTTCTAAAGTTTATTTAAATATGAACATTGCTTAAAATGTAAATCATCCATACTTTTAGCGCTAAAGAAAATATCCCCCCAAACTATATGCACAGTGACACTTCCTGCTACCACCAACTTCTCTTTCCATTTTAAAGTGGGGTCTGCAGATAAAACACAGGGAAGGCAGAGATCAAAAAGACTTGCATGCATTATTCTTTGTAAGAACATCTTCCTCTGTCCTACAGTTGTTTCTTATTGGAGCCTGGTGAGTGCTCGAGGACAGGGTGCCTGCTCTCTTGATTTCTCTGGCACAACATGAGGGGCACATACACAAATTGTGTTGGATGAAAAAATCTGGTGGAAAGGGAGTGGAATTGGACAGAAAGGCAACAGGGGGTTCCTGCACAGCAGAACAGGCTGAATATAGAGTCTAGTTAGTTTGAGAAGGTGTGAGACTAGGCTTCTCTGACCTTCAACCTTCTGAAGACATCTCTTAAAAAAAAAAATCAAAGCATCTTCCCTTTCAGCATCTGCTAACAGCCAGAGCACCTGGGGCTCTAGGGCCTTGAATGGGAGACTTCGAGACAGAAGACTTGGAGGGTAAGGTACCTGGAAGGCAGGTGGGCAGGCTTCTTCCCAGTAATTCATTTGTCCAGACCCCTTGGGCAGAGCAGGTATACATTCCTACATGAGTGAAAAAGGGTGGAGAAGAGAAAGAAAATGATTGATGTGTAGCACATGGAAAATAGGTTTGGATTTTTAATTCCTTTAATGTGGATTATTGTAAAAATTCTTTCAAATGGCCTCTCTGATATCATTTTCCATGAGCCCATCCTCTTTGCAACTTGCAGGATCTTTCTAAAATGGGAATCTAACCACAGTTCAATTACCAGTGGATCCTCACTGTCCTCAAAAATAAATACCACACTCTTCGTGGTGTCCAGCGCTCTGTGCAATCTGACTCCTGCTGGTTTGAGGCTGCTTGCCCTGGGCTGTCCATCCCTTGGCAGTTTTCTCCCTCTCATTAATCACAGAGACTTTGGTTCACACAGCTCTCTGCAGCACACATGCCTCTCAGTACTTAAACCCTTTAATAAGCCACATTTCTGTCCACCTTCTCATTTGAGTCTCACAATAGTTCTGTGAGCTGTATCACTGTTCCTTGTTGAAAAGTGAGTTCTTGGAGACTTAGAGAAATTAGGAGAGTTTTCTTTTCTTTATTCTTGGTACTGGGGATTGAATTCAGAGAGTACTCTACCCCTGAGCCACATCCCCAGCCTTTTTATGTATTTTATTTAGAGACAGGGTCTCACTGAGTTGCTCAGTGTCTCACTTTTGCTGAGGCTGGCTTTGAACTCATGATCCTCCTGTCTCAGCCTCCTGAGCCACTGGGATTAGAGGCATGTGCCACCATGACCAGCAAGAGTTTTCTTAGTGCTCATTTTCCATAGAGGCAGAGATGGGCCTTTCCATCTCTGAGAGGTTCTCTTTTCTGCTAGGACTGTGACTATGCATGAGGGTGTTGGGATGCTTCAAAGACTCATTCTAGGGTAAGGTGGGACATATCACCACATATGTCTCTTCCCAAACCTTCACTGTGACCAGTGTACTGGCCACTGGTGGTCCTTCACCCTTTGGCCTGTGAGCTTCTTTCTGACCTCTGGGGTAGCCAGGAGCCTGGCAGGTGGTATGGATGAGACCTGGACTGGAACAGCTCCAACTGTGTTGGAGTCTTGGTCAGGGCATACACTGGGCTACCTTGGGAGACAGATGGATCTGCTCCCCATTCCCCACTCCACCTGGACCCTGTGCATAAAATAAGAACAGGTCTTTGAAGGAAGATTCCTAGTAGGCTTGCCAAATGGCTCTAGTTTGGTCATATGTTATCAGCCAGAAACCAAGGCAGAGACTGGCTGAAGTGGAGACACAGGGCATTTTCTGGAAACCTCAACTCAGTCTCAGGCAACATGTAGCAATTCATTTTGGGACATTCCAGGCTTTCGTTATGTTCTCAAATCTTCCCTTTGCTGTGTTCTATCTGACTCCTTTATGCTCCTAAAAGATCTATGCTCATTGGTAGAATCTGGGCTAGATTAAAATGAGAGGATAAAAAAAAGAAAGAAAGAAAAGGACAGGGTATTGGTCCTGAGACTCAGTCTCTGCATCTTAAAATGGACAAAATAATATGAGTTCATGCATGAGTATCAGATGAGGTGATGTGTGAGAGGACAATTTTTGCATTATTGAGCACCCCATACCTATGAGCAGTTGTTCCTTACAGAGTGATTTCAGCTCCCAGCCTATCCAGAGGCCCAGAGAGGGTGAGGTGGGAGGGGGAGAGTATGGAGCGCTCACCTGTGATGTTGTGAAGCATCTTGTAATAGGGCTGATGGCAGGAGTATCTGATCTCAGATTTGTATGTGGTGAGGTTGTTCCTTGTGAAGAAGGTGACCAGTCCATGTTCCAGCTCAGCTGGGGCTCCACAGTCTACAACTAAGAGAGAAGCAGTGAGACCTCTTAACTATCTTTTGCTCTTCCTCTTGTTACCATCTGTTGGATTTTTTCTTCTACAGATGTGCAGGTTATGCAATGAGCACAACTCCAGAAAGCAAAGTTATAAGTCAAGGATGCCCCTGGAATTGTACAGGGTCTAACCTCTGCAGCTCCCAGTGCCCTTGCTTTTGGGGTCTTTCCATCATGACATTACTCTATGATCAACTCACCTGGCCCAGTGTCAATTTCAGAGTAGAGACAACTCTGCTGAGATTTAAGGAGATCCAAGTCTCTTCCCTACCATAACCTCTTTCCCCGACTTCTAGTTCTATTGTGAAATCCTTTCTGCTACTTCTGCCCAAGCATGAAGCCCATGCTCAGTTTGAAAATTCTGGCTGATCTGAACCAAAGAATCTTCCATTCTTCCAGTCCCAACCACAGGCTGACTAAGATCAGTTAATTTGCTCATATTAGAGCTTGGCACACACACACACACCAAAAAAAAGAAACAAACCCAAACAAATAAAAAACCCAGTTCCTGCATGAGTACACAGCCCCACCCTGCTGGCTCTCTACAGGCAGCTTGCTCCACCACAGAAGGCAGAAGAGGGTCATGGGTGAATCAAATCTTAGTCTCCAATTTTCTCCAGTTTTTGGTAGCTAGATATTGGGGCTGGTTGTAGTCACAGCATAAGACATGACCAAAGATGCCTGCTCCTCAGAGATGGTCTTTGGGGAGCTCCTCAGTCCTGCCAGGTCTTAGAGGAATTGCTGGCCCTGAGGGATCTCAGCATGAGTCAGCTCAGATTCAGGGCACCTCTTCATGGCCACATCAGAGGCTAAGGGCCCAATTCATCAACGTCTTCTTAGGGGATCCTTTAAACAATGCTGCTCATTTCTTAGGAAATCTTCATATTTGACATAACAACCCATGCCAAAGTTGAAGAATCCTAGAGGAATCATAGAGTTTGACAGATGGAAAGGAGACTGGTGTAGCAGGAGTTTGGTGGTAGCCATCTAGAATATCTTCTTTGTTTTGCCCATAAGCCTGGAGAGGAGACTTGGCTATTTATTCTAAAGTCACCCAGTGAGTGAATGTCAGAGTGAGAACGAGATCTTAAACTCAGTGATCTTTTAGTAAATGGTATTGATAGTTTCTCAGGATTGTTTAAATGCCCTATGTTAAATGGCCTATGTTACATATTAGCTGGCTAGTGGTGAACATTTCTTGTCAATATTTCCAGAATCCTGATGAAATTTGCAAAGTTCCTCCCTCTCCTGAATATCACTTGTTCACTTTGGGGAATAGAGAGGAGAGACTTACCCCGAGTGCTAATCAGACTTTGTGATTTTAATTTTAGGGCTTCAAATTCATCTTTTTAAATTGACTATGGAGTCAACTAACTTAAAACATGTATGATTCCAGGTTTGAGGAAAGGGATGAAGGAAGGGAATAAATGTGTGTCCTTCTTATCCACAACGAAGGCAAAATACAAAAAAAAACTGGGCTCCAGTCCCCTTGGGCAAATTGTTTCCACTTTCTTTTGATCACCCCAAACTGGAAACACTCTTATAGTTTGTGAGATAAATGTGCAAAGGTTAATGCCAAGATAATAAGAAGTAATAATATTTATTATTTAAAATTACAAATAGTTTTATTTTTTTTTCTGAGACTCCAAGTGGACTTTCCCGCCTCTTTAGGAAATGCCATTGACTGGTACCTACATATTGAGATCATTCTTGTCTCCCTTAACTTTTTAGCAATTCCTTTGTCTTAAAGCATCATTAAGACCTAACTACCTGGCTTCTAGTAGAAGAATTCTAGGGCAGTCCTTGGACTTGTGTGGCTGGTGCTGGTGGGGAGATATTTTCTGGGTAGAGGGGCTATTTTCACTGCACTCCAGAGAAGCAACTCTGCCCACTGATACAACTGGTCCTACAACCACAGAGAGGGGGGCCATGTCCATTGGAAAAGAAAGAGTCTGGTCAGCTAGTGAGTGAGGAAAGGGCACACTTTTCTTCCCAAGTGTACAATGAGGTTAAAACCCATGTATCTCAGGGACCTTGAGGCAACCTCTCCTCACAAGAGCCCTGAGCAACTCTGCCTGGCACAACCAGTGGGTGTAGATCCTGCATCCTCAGCGAGGCCATCTTTGCTTTAGAAAGGGTCCTCCTGAATTTTCTCTGGCCACTTCCACACCCTGGAATCCAAACACACTTCTCTCTCCCATTTCCTTGCTCACCATTCTGGGGCATGGGGGACACCACCCTATACCCCGTCTCCACTCTCCTCTCTGTCTGCTGTTTATTCTCCTCCAGATACACCTTCGTTGGTCTGCAGATGCTTCTGAGTCTCTTTACCATAATCTGGGGACTTCCTAGGGAACTCTATACAATTTGCTCACCCTGGCACTCAGTCCAGAGATGAGGTCCCAGTCCCCTTTCCAATTTCTTCCCCCGCTCAGTGTGCCCATCTTCCAATGTCACCAGACCCATCATTGTGTCACTTCTGCCTCCACTTCCATGCCATACTGCTGCTTGGGACACTCTGTGTCCATGTGGCTACCCCAGAGGCCTTGGTCAGAAAACTAGTTCTTCTTGAAAGCCTTTTTTAATCTTTCTAACTGGACAGGGGAGCTACCTTGTTCTGGAATTCTTTATTCATATCTCTTTGGTGGCATGATCTTATGTTCTCTGATATTGCAATTATTTGAGCAAGTATCAACTCTCCTCTTACATTGTGATTCTATTACACTAAGTATGAAGTCTGTTAATACTTTGTGGGCTTACAAACATGTATTCAGCTGGCACTTGTCTTTAGTAGCTAGCCCATCTCCTCTCAGAGTTGTCTCTACCCTAGGATGGCACCTCAGACTCCAGACTGCTCATTGTCTATACTTGCAGGGTTCTGTCTTCACCAAGTGGCCAGTTAATCTTAAAATCGATAGGTAGCCACCCTCCAATTCAGGGCTTCTTTAATATTTGTGTCCAGACCTTGTCCAGGCTGCTGATCTCAGCCCTTTCTTCATCATTGTTTATAACCTAGTGATGTCTGTGGTCCCAGAGCTGAGGACCATTGCTTTCACGAGCATTTCCTATCCTTTTAAAGTTGTCAGTGAATTTTAGGAAACACAACACTTGTAATCCCCAGGGGAACGCACCTGTAATGATGGAATTTTAGCTCTGTGTGATGTATGGGTGGAAGGAATACTTCTGTGAATGAGAAAATACCCAGATTCTCAAAAATGCACACTGGGTTATTACTCATTTTAGCTACTCATGGTTAAAAAGGTAACAACAAATAAAAAGTTTAATGTCATCAAGTGACTAGCATTCTGGCCTATTTGAACTTGAAATGTGAACCAGATCAGAAACCAGTGCCCACTTCGATCTGGTTGGCCACAAGGCCACATGACTGGGCATTAAATCTTGTGTTTCTAGAACTGAAGGCATTTTTCCTTTGAGAAGAGTACAATCCACTTACAGATCCTTAAAAAAATTTTCCCACTGTCTTTTTATCATTTTCTGGAGTAATTTTGAGTGGTGACCAAACCCTCAAGGGGATAATTTATTCTCATAGCACAGCGGCTCCCGCTGCTGGGGCTGTGTGGCGGGGCTCAGCCCACATCCTAATCCACACTGAAGCGGGCAATGGAGTGTTGGTGGGTGGGGAGGGGTGGAGCAGCTCTGGGACCCCGGGGTCTTTGTGAGTGATCCATTCCTGGATGTCTGCACTGTGTGGGGTTCTTGTCATTCACTCTGTCACTTGCTCTGACTCGGGTTCGCTCTCCAAATCGATCTCGCTTTCTGTCACCATGGTGAAGTCAAAGTGGGACCAGGAGACGCAGAGAAAGGAAGCAGAGAGAGGAAGAGAAAAAGAGAGAAAGAAAAGAGAGAGAGAAAAGTTAGCAAGCAAAGCAGAAACAGTTCTTGCAGGAAATACAGAAACCATTCCATCAGAATCCATTAAGAATGCAGGTTAGGAACAGCCAGTGTGAAGGACAGTTTGGGACTGTTGAATTTGTACCATTCTGAGAATTTGCACTCATACTCGCTGGCTCCTAAGGATTATAGATTCTTTCCCTGCAGGGAGATTTGCATTTATCTATTCTAAACCCTCACTTGACAGTTAGAATTCAGAGAATACCAGGACTTGTCATCACAGCAAAGTGAAGTCAGGGCTGGGACAATCATCCATAATTCCCACTTCCTGTTCTGGTGCATCTTTCTTTACCATATACTGCACACTTATTGTTTGTTCCCAGCCCCTTATGCCTCTTAATTCCTCACTCTTATCTTTGCATCTTCCATAGGATCTAGCATAGTACATGGTATAGAGAAATGCCATAGTAAGTATTGATTAGGCAAAGATGCTGGATATGTCTGCATGGGAGCTGTCATCATCCTAATCCAGGCTGTTTTCTTGAGTACAACATGGCAAGGCATTCTGTTGCATAAGTCACACAAAATAGTGCTAATACTGTAGTGCCTTACTCTATCAATGCTCTCATTACAACACAAAGTATGTGTGTGTTTCATCAGGGAAAACTATTAATAATGTTTCCTACTTTCCAAAAGTGTGTCTGAGAGAAAATAAACCTTTTAGTAGTGAAGGGTGATGCTGGGGGCTGAAAAAGAAATAAGCTTTTATTAAGCTTTTGCTTATTCCTGCACTCTACAGGCATGGTACATATATTAAACCAGTTAGTTCTCATAGCAATCTTGAGGGAAAGAATCTGAGGCCAACAGAAAATGAGTAAATTGCATAGGGACACTCATCTGATAGAATTGTCAGATTCTGTCCTAAATATCTCAAATCCCCCTTTCCCTTTTTCAAAATGACCCTTGCTCTCTCTTGGTGAGTGCCTTGCTCAGCATCCAGTCATACCACTACTAAGAAGAGCTGTCGAGTCCCTCCTATCTAGACCTGAACTTTTCCTTCGGAGTTCTGGATTTAAGTCTGCACAGGCTTCCAGTAAGTGTTTGCTGAAAATTTGTTGAAGTCATGCGATGCTCCTCTCTTCCCATACTGGGACCTGACTGCAGCAACATAACCATATAAAAAAGGAAACAAGCACATTCTGCTTCCAGTTCTGCCTGGCTTTTGCCTCCAGAAACCCTGCGGCTTGAGAGCACCTCCTAAGGGCAGTGGGAAGAGATCTGTCTTCCATGATGGATGGGAGCCATTTAAGACAAAGGAATAGGACAGCACTCCTGAAATGTGGATGAATGGGGCCAACCCCAATTCTTGACTTCTCATTTCTGCATTCTAAAGCAAACCCCTGCCCTCCTTCCTTCCTTCCTGACCCTTTCTGTCACTGTGCGTGCCTCTTCTCATCACTGTTGCCATACATAAGTTTCTAAAATCGCTGTCCTTATTACTCTTGTATTGAAATGCCCTGGATGTGGAGGGAGAGGGGCTAGTGTTTGGAAATCTGTATTCTTACAAAACTCAATAGATGATTTACATGGACTATATTATTTTAGAATCACTGCATAAATTCTGCTAGTCCAAATTCTTTATTGTCAAGTCGAGGTAAAGGATCTGGTTCATGATCACAGAATAGGTCAGGGTCAGAGTCACTGCAAGAACTCGGACCCCAACAGTCAGTGAAGAGTTGTGTTCCATGCTTCAACTAGGTCTACTATGCTGACCCCACAGTCATTTTTTCCAAAGTTCCAAATCAACTCAGAAGAGTTAGTGGCCATGGGTGGTGGTGGCCATGTAGAGACTAATATGCTTACTCAGCTCTGGGAACCTGTGCCACACTGGTCTCCTGAATTAGCAATTGCCAGAGCTGGCTTTAGACCTGGAGACATGTATTCCTCTAGCAAATCTGGCAACCTGTTTGCAGGCTGAGGTAAATGGTGTTTAGAAAATAAACTGCCCCCACCCCACACACAAAACCACATTTGTTTGGGGATGCTAAAGTCTTACTGCTAAAAGGGGCATTAATACTGTTTTTGTCTGTTGAGTTTCCACCCATCCCTCTCAGAGACTTCCTGCCAGGCTGTCACCCCGGTGTGATCTTTGGTCTGATCCCAACAGCAGGAGGGAACTCATTATCCTTATAATCAAGCCATTTGTTTTTCTTACTTTTACAGGTGGGAATCTTGTTACTCCATGTCCCATCCTTCAGGCACTCGATCTGAAATGTGTCCATCTCCACATTATCCTGGAAAGAAACCAAAGAAGGGAGTGGGAAGAAGGAAGGGGTGGAGTCAGTGTTTGCTTCCCAGAAAAATGAACTCAAGTTCCAAGCCTCACTGTCCTCAATGGGATTTTCCACCCAAGTCTCCAAGGCCAAGTTTGAAGATAAGGAAAACATAGATATTGAACTCATATTCTGCATTCGTACCATGGAGAGGCAATTGAGGCACAAGAGGCCTTGGGCAATTGTCTCTGAAAGAATAACTGTAGCCTTGTCTCCTTTTTCAGAGACTGGTTCTAAAACTTGAGCAAGAGGTCAGCACCACCTGGGGGCTTGTTAAAACAGATTGCTGGCCGGTGTCTTCAGAATTTTTTGATTTAGTGGGTCTGATCTAACCAAGACTTAGCATTTCTCGTAAGTTCCCAAGTGATGCTGATACTACTGGTCCAGGGACCTTTCATTGAGAACTATTCCTTGAGAACAGTGGTCCTCTAGCTTGGCTGCACTTTAGGCTCATATAGAGAACATTAAAAAAAAAAAAAGAAAGAAAGAAAAAAAAGAAGAAGCCAAGCCTCAGTTTCAACCCCAAAGATATTGCTTTAATTAATCTCAACTAAGATGTAGGAGATGACTTTTTTTTTTTTTAATAAATTTTTAAAGCTAAGTAAGAGAATCATTGTCTCAGACGGTGGAAAAATAAGGAGTACCTGTCACCTTTAAAACCATTATTTCCCTTTCCAGGCCCCACCCTACCCCCATAAGCCTGATGAACTTTATTAAGGTTGTTAGCCCTGATTAGAGAGCTGTACAGCACCCCCACCACTTGCTTTTTAAATCCAAGCCAGCCCATTCTCTGATAAAAGACTTTTGTGTCACTTCCAGAAGCGAGAGACAATCTGGGACACATGCTTTAGAATTTCTGGAACATTTGGGAGGCTTTTGTGGCAGCTAGGAAATACTGTGCTGGCACTCTGCCAAGTTCCAGCAGCCCATCTGCCCTGGGGAACTCTTGAGATTTTCTCTGGCCTTCACCCAGGCAGGCGCTGCACCTTCAGCACTTTGTAGCCTGTGTCACAGCTGACGAGCACTTGATCTTTGAAGGAATATGTGGCTTGCAAGGGCTCAATTTTCCCATGGACAGGAGGTTGTAGCTCAGGGCACTCGTTTCCTGGCAGGAAGCAAATGAAAGGACAGCAGGTAAGAAAACAGAGGAAAAGTCTGGCAGTAGAGGGCCAGACCCACAGAGCAAGGCCTGAGGGAGGAGGGAAATGACAGAACTGCACGCAGACTTACTCCGAAACCAGAAGCAAGTCACTTTCCAAATTGCAAGCCCCCACCCCCGATTGCTTATTATTAAAATTAGATGGTTGGCCAGATGACTTCATGATTTACATGGACTATATTATTTTAGAATCACTGCATAAATTCTGCTAGTTCAAATTCTTTATTGTCAAGTCGAGCCACTGCAATAACTCTGGATCCCAAGAGTCAGTGAAGAGCTAACTCAGGGTTGGGTGGAATATTAAGTGTCATTGACTCCAACACTGTCCTGATGTTTTCTTTACAACATTCTCCACAGTAGACACCCAACATCTTTTTGCATTTCTATAAGACAGGGAACTCAATTCCTCCCAAACCTATAACTCCTACATGTGGAATCCTCGGATTAAATCAACAGAGTTTTCCTATTTAGCTGAAATCTCTTCCATTGTAAGTCTTACTCACTGGACCACGCAGAGGACCCCAATTACCCCTTTTTTTCCCCAAGACCCTTCTTCAAAGCATTTAGAGACTATGAATCATATACTTCTGAGACATCTTTTCAAAAGGTTAAATCTGACAAGATCCTCATGGCCGGAGCTTATCCCTGACACTTTTTCCTGGACAAACTCTCTTTTGTTAATTTCCTGCTCACTCCTCTCCCCAGACTGGGCACTGGATAGGCTAGTGCAGGCAGAGCCAGGGTTTCAGGGTCTATGAAGTCACACCTGGCTGATGTCCACCTCTTTCTTCTTGAGTTATTACAGACCTCTTGGGTCAAATGCCTCTATCAGGATTGAGCCAGGACTGGCTGCCTTGGGGAGCTGAGGAATGGGACCTGTACGCTTTGCCAGTCAAGGGGCCCACAATGAAACATTGGAAACTACAGGCCCATGCTCAAATTCCAGCCCCAGACTTAGAGAAGGCTGGAGCTGAAAGGGCCCTTTCCAGGTCTAGTGAATCACTGTGTGAGGGGTGGGGTTCAGGAAATAAGATTTCTATTTTTTTTTTAAGTCTCCCCACACGATGCTGAAATACAGCCAGTTTTGAAAACTTCCAGTCTAGCTCAAACTCAACATCATTGATGTGCTGGGGCCCCTTTTACAGTAGGAAACTGAGTCAGCAGAGAGCATATGTCTTGGTCCCAAATTTCTCAGCTAAGAGTCCCATCAGGTCACCAGAGAAGTTCCAGGCCTGCATCCCCTCCCAACCACCCTCTCTGTGAATGTTGAGCACAGAGGCTCACTCAGGTGAGAGGGGAGAAGTTACCTGCAGCTCTGTACGAGAGCCTCCAGCCCCGGTTCTCCCCTGAGTTATCACTGCGGAACAGGATCTGGACACTGTGGCTCTGGGTACTGATGGGTTCTGGGGCTTTCTCTCCACAGAAGGGTCCCAAAACTTTTGAACCAGCTTTAATCTAAGAAAGGCAATACAGAGAAAGAGAAGAGTCAAATCTGAGCAGCTGAGAGCACTGCTGCAGGCAACTCTTCTGCACTGCTCTCTGGAGTCTTCTGGAAGCCTCCGGGTGAATCCATGATTTTAACTTATGGTTTGAATGGGCCTTTCCAGTCACCCAACAGTTCATCTCCACTCTCTCATTTTGTAATTTACAATGGCCTAGGAAGTGGACAAGGTAGGTTAATAATCCTCTGCTCAAAGACAAACTTATTGTGGCTCAGAGGACATAGCCTTGTCCAGTACACAAAACAGATGAGCTCTCTGTTGTCAAAGAATTTGCAGTCGAGTAAAGAGAGACTGATAAAAAAAACAATAAGCAACATAACACAGGTATCTCTGCCACCATTTATATAACAGACAGTAGTATAATAGCTAGTAACTTTAAATGGGTACTCAAAGAAGGCCTCGTGGTGAAGTAACATTGAATCTGATGTGTAGGGTGAGTAGGAGCCTGTTGTTTGAAGAGGAGGAGGGAGGAGCATTTTCCAGGCAGAGAAAATAGCTATGAAAAGGCCAAGGTCAAAGGTGGGAACGAGCTTGGCAAGTGTGGAGCACAAGAAGGAAGCCATGAGGCTGGGACAGAGGGAGTGGCACGACCTGAGGTTGGAAGAGCAGGCAAGGGTCACATTGTGTTGAGGAATTTATGTGTAATTCCAAGTGAAATCTTGATCCAATCTACTTTTTTTTTTTTTTTAACTCTCAAGACTATGGGTAAATAGACTATATAGAGTGAGGGTGAAAGCAAGAAAACCAGCTGGGGAGTTTTGCAGTTGAGCACAGGAGAGGTGATGGGGCTTGACTGGGACAGAGGCAGTGGAGAAGGAGAGAGGGCAGCAGGAAGTATGGGCTGATCCAGAGTCCCCCATTCCCAGTCCTGGGTTCTTCCTGTGCATTTTTCCTTCCATCTCTGAGGACCAGGACCAGGACCCATTAGGTAGCATTTGGTGACTTCCACAATCCTGGGTAGCATCTTCATCTTATCATGGAGAGGGGGCAAAAGTGAAGCCCCAGAAAGTAAAGTGACTAGTTGAGGTTCCCGTGCATAGCTCTGGGAACTCTGTGTGGTAGCCAGAATTCTAAGACAGTACCATAACCTTCACCCCTGGTGTTACTTTGTGATTATGTTTTCTTACATGGAAGAAGAGGTTGTTTTTTTATCCCCTAGGGGACAGTAGAAAGGGACCTGAGAGCAGCTTCTAGATGCTGAGAGGAACTCTGGGCCATCAGAAAGAAGATGGGATTTCAGTCCTACAGCAGCAATGAACTTTATTCCTACAACTACAAGGATCTGTTAATAATTTAAAATGACCCTGAAAATGGGATTCTGCCCCAGAGCCTCAAGGTTCGAATCCCATCCAGTTGACACTTTGATTTCCATCTAGGGAAACCCTAATCAAAGAACCCAAGTGAATCTTCTGGGTTTTCTGTCTACAAAACAATGTAAAAAGAATTGCTGTAAGCTGTTATGTGCGAGGCAGTTTATTACACAGCAATGAATACTCCTGTCCTGTGTTTCCTGCTAGTCCACCTGTGGCCAAGCTGCTTCTTAGCCTCTGAATTCAAGTAGGGGACAGGACAGCCTCTAAGTTGTCAAGTTTTCTTTCATAGACTCTCAAACTTCTCCCACTGTAGACAACTTCATTTATTTTTTTGTACTGGGGATTGAACTCAGGGGCACTTAACCACTGAGCCACATCCCCAGCCCTATTTTGTATTTTATTTAGAGACAGGGTCTCACTGAGTTGTTTAGTGCCTCGCTGTTGCTGAGGCTGGCTTTGAACTTGTAGCCTCCCAAGCCACTGGGATTACAGGCGTATGCCACCCTGCCCAATTGACAGCTCCATTTTTGACTGTCTCATTTTATGGCCCTTTCATGGAGGGTGCCTCTGTTCTGCCTTCCATCTGTCTTAGGCCAGCTCACTGCACCTATTTGTACACTTGAGTAGCACCCCTTTTTCTCCCCAGCTCAGTATTTCTCCTGAGGTCAGACTCCAATATGCAGGTCCACCTGGATGTTTTGGCTGGTCCCTCTCTAAGAATAGCTGATTTTCTTCCTACATGTCTAAACAATATCTCTTCTACTATCCCAGCCAATAGCATAAATTTAGGCTACCTTTGCATCTTATCTATACTAGTAGAATCACCACAAATTCAGTGGTTATTGGCCTGTGACATTCTCTTTCCTCTTTGTTTGCCTTTTGCATAGTCTCTTCTCCCAAGCAGGACCAGCAGCATAACTTATGGGTACATACAGTGCAAGATGAAAATGTGGATTCTTTGTTCAAAATACATTAAGAAGTTCAAGATAGCAACAGCAGAACAGTAAATCAACTATGGGTTCTTTTTGAGTATAGAGCCTTGTGAGACATGGACAGATTGCAGGTCAATGAAACTGAGTGTACCCCCAGGGACTTTTGCTAATGCAGACTTGACTCTTGGACTGTCTATCTCAAACCATACTGATGGCCAGGGAGCTTGCTTTGGATCATGGAAGATTCTTATATTAGATCTAATTAAGCTGGTAGATGTTATCTTAATAATGACTTTGATAAACTAGCTGCCTGGCCTTCTATCCTGAGATAAGATGAAAACAGCAGAATATCAATTTTCCCAATTCAGCCAAGATTTTCCAGCATTCCCTGGACAAACAACTTCTGCAGGCTTACCTTGATATAGTCATAAGGGCAGGGCACCTCAGGATGGTCCTCAATGTCAAAAATGTCCTCGAATTGCAAGCTGACCATGAAACCCTCCTCCAGCTCAATGTTGTAGAGGCATTCAGAGCTCTTGGGGTAAGGGTTGGGGTAGTCAGGGCTGGTGATCAGGCCGGTCCTCTGGGTAAAGAGGTTGTCACTGCACTCCACTGTGGGAAACATAGCAGAGAACATGGCACACCAACACCACAGCAGACCCTTGCCTATGTCACTGTGATCCTTCTAGTGCCAGGAAGGAACCAGTATCCCCATTTCACTGATGGGGGGAAACTCCATGAAGGGAAGTGATTTACCCAAAGTTAGATACCTAGCAATTTGCAGTCAAAACTCAAATGCAGACGTCTCTGTCTGTCCAGAGTTATTTACCCTGTGTGATGGCACCTCTCAGCAGATTCTCTGCTACTTGTGAGAAGCAGGAAGGACTCAGATAATGGAAGGGGCTTGGGTGGGGCAGTCATGGGGTTATCTGGACCTCTTTGACCCCTACTCGCCCCCTTGCCCAGACTTCATTTAGGTCTCTGCTCAAACCCTTCCTTGGTCCTATCGTAATATAGACCTCACACATACCCTCCTCTCTCCCAGCCCTGTCCTTCTTTTATTTTTTTCCCTTCACCATTATATTCACATTTTAAGGACATATTCATTTTGATTGTTTGCATGCAAGAACACCAACTAATCTATTTATTTCAACATTACGCCTATTTCTTTTGAAGCCAAGAAGATTTTGTTATTTTATGAAAGCAATGGAGACGCATTTTTCAAGATGCTTAAGGCAGAACGCTTAAGGTTCCTGCTTGCTGCTGTGCCTGGCCTTCTGCTTCCTTTAAACCAGGTGGTGCCATCAGGCCTAAAAAGGCATACACTGTGTTCTTTTCTTGGGCTTCCAAAAAGTCATCCTAGTCCCCACAGTACTGGCTGTCATTGAAAATCTGAGGTGGCAGGGAGGACCCTGTGGCAGGTCCACTATTCTCAGGTGCATTTTCTCTCATCTGCTTCTGATTCTCTTCATTGGCTACAGTATCTTTTTCTATATAGCCTATTTTGTTGGCACCAAGCACATCTTGCTGTTTCTTCTTAATCACTGTAGAGCTGGAGGAAGATGCAATATATACACGAATCACCATCCTGGGACCAGCGGCTGGCAGTTGTCTGGACCCTGGAAAGAGGGCTGTGGAGCAGCTGCAGCGGTGGCTGGGATCCAGCTAGAGGCTGAACCCCAGCCATGTCCTTCTTATTTTTTTCCTTCGGTGCTTCTCATTGCCTGACATTATGTCACATATTAATTTGTTGGTTTCTTTGGCCCACTAGACTGTGAGTTCCATGAGCTCAGGGATTTGACTTTGTTCTGCACTAGAGTTATTGCAACCAGGGACCTCCGTCCTGGCCTGGCCTGGCCCTGAGTTAACCCTGCCCAGGCACCTTTGTTTACTGCTAAACTTTTGCCCTTGGCTGACCCATCCTAGAGCTGGGATGTCCTTGCTTGCTAAGCCTTTGTTCATCCTACTCATTTGCAAATGAAAAAAACTGTAGCCCAGAAAGGCGGGCATGACTAACTTGAAGTCCCACAGAACTTGCAGATCAAGGTTTAGATTGAGGTCTCTTAAAGTCCCATCTGTTTTCATTTTCTACACAAGCATTCTCATAGGGGTAATCTCACCCCAAAGGGGACTAAAATTGGTTCTTGGTAGGAAGACTTGCTGTTCTTATGCATAATGCATAGACATATAGTGCATAAGCAGATATACAGCATGTCTGTGGTATCAAAGAGAAAAAAAAAAAAAAGAAAAAGAAAAGGGCTTCTGGGTGCGGAAATAAAGACAGATTGAGAAAACTTGCTCTACCTTCAGCCCTCCCTAGCCTCAGTATAGAGTAGATAGCTAATAAATACTTACTGAATAAGAATAGAAAACATAACCCTCCCCAAGAAAATGAACCTGCTGTTTTTGTCTTATACTGCTTTATTCTGATGAGTAAGGATTTGGGCTTTATTCAGAAATGAGCAGTTTTTGAAGGAGAAAGAAAAAGAGCTCCTGTCTACAGTCTCACCTCCCTCTGATCTTGCCTCACTCAAGTTCCGAGTGAGATCCCTGGGTCACACAAATCTGCTGGCAATTCCCCAAGTGCCTCAAGTTCTGTCACACCTGTGAATATTTGCAGAAGCTGTTCTCCCTGCATAGAATGCCCTCCCTCTCCTTATTCTTTCACATCTGCCAAGGGTCATCATCTTGGGGGAGTATTTGTCCACTTCTCCAGGCCAGCTCAGGTCTGATTGAGCTGTCTACACTTCCTTCACATAAATGTAGCAAATGTTGCACTTTCGGCATCTAACCATTTGCTTATAGGACTATTGCCCCAGTAGTCTAGGGACTACTGCTGCAGAGTGGCTGAGCCCTTCCATCTCTCCATCTCTGCCTCAGTCCAGTCACCACAGCATGGCTACCATGTTGATGGGGGATGAAAACAGAGAGAAGGGGTGGAAAGTTTTTCTGCTGCCTCTGTTTTTGCCTCTATGCTTCTTCCTTTTGACTGAGTTTCTCTCTGTCATAGAGAAACTTAGAGGCTATCAAAAGCAAAGAGAAAAAAGAACTGCTGGGAGAGGCTTAGTTCATGGCTCAGAGAGAAAGGACTGGGGACCCCAGGTTTCTCCCTACCTTGGTCATTAGTTCACCCTCTGTAGGAAAAGAGACAGGACCTATTCAGCACACATTCTGCCCAGGAAGATGGCCTAGTAGCCAAATATTTTCTCTTGTATTTCACTGAGAACAGGAACCCAGGCTTCCAGGCTGAGGGAACGTTATTTCAGTATCTCTGTTCACATGGTATCTGAAGCACACCTCTAACTTCATTGTTAATTGTCTATACTGTGTATCTATCTTTCCTCTGAGCCTCTTCTAATTGTACTGGAAGGTGTGGCATGTCATGGCAATGTATAGAACCACCCCCAGGCCCTACCTCGGCAGGTCCTGTTGTCCGTGTGGAGGATGTAGCCAAAGCGGCAGGAGCAGTAGTAGCCGCCAATGTAGTTGTGGCAGTAGTGGTCACAGGACAGCTCCTCGTCCTCCCTCTCCTTACACTCGTCCACATCTGCAAGGAAGATAGAGCCTCAATCAGGGCATGCGTGATGATGAAGATGACCCCCAACATATACAGCACTTAGTGTGGCCTGCTCCCTGGCCACTGGGGGTTCAGGAGTTGTCTCATTTAATCATTACATAAAGCCCAGAGAGAGTCATTATCTTCGTTTTACGGATGAGGAAACTCAGAAAACTGGATCAGCTGATCCCAGACCTCAGAGACTCGGATTTAAACCTAGGCAACTTGACTCCTGGTAGAAGAACTATCCTTTAACAGCAGCAAGCTCAGGGCTGTTACTACCCCTGTTTTATAGATGATGAAGTAAAGCCATAGAGATCTGGGGTGGGCTGGCTGCAGAGCTTGAGTTCTTAACTTCTACTTCATGTTGTCTCTTTCTTTCTTTCTAAGCCCCTAGTATGGGTCCAATCCTGTCCTAGGCATTGAGTATACATTTCTCCTAAAGGGACATATGAATAGCCAATAAGCTCATGAAAAGATGCTTATTATCATTAGTTGTCAGGGGAATGTGATTTAATCATAATGAGATACACTATAGAGCCAGCAGAGTGGTTAATATTAAAAAATTGACAACATCTGATGTTGGTGAAGATATAGAGCATCCAGAACTCCCAGGCATTTGTGGACTTTTATAAAACGATGTGATGACTTTGGAAAAGATCTGGCGATTTATTACAAAACTGAGCATAGCGGCCCTATCACTCAGCAATTCTATTCCTAAATATTTACCCAATAAAAGTGAAAGTATATGCTCACAAAAAGACTTGTACAAGAAGATTCATAGAAATTTTATTAATGGGAGCCAAAAAATGGGTAGAGCCCAGTTGTCTCTCAAAGGGAGAATGGATAAAAAATAATTATAGTATATTCATACCATGGAACACTATTCTGATAGGAAAAGGAATAAATTACTAATGCATGCAGCAACATAAGTGAATCTCAAAAGCATAATGCTGAGTAAAAGCATTCACCCCAAGATATATTTTCTGTGTGTTCATTTATGTGAAATTTTAAAAGAAACAAAATTAATCTATGGCAGGAAAAAAAACAGAATTATTTCCACTAAGGGAATTGGGAACACGGATTGACTTGGCAGGAACATGAGCCAACTTTCTGGGTTGATGCTTAAATTCAATATCTTATTGGGGGTTTGGGTTACACACAAATATAAATTTTAAAAATTCAACAAATATATACTAAGATTTTGATTTCATTGCATGCAAATTTTGCACTAAATAAAAAAACTGAACAGATATAAAACTCTAGCAAAATTATACCCATGGAGGAGTATTTAGGAAGGTGTTTCCTGATGTCTGCAATTACTTTGATGTATCAAAAAAGATGAATTGATGGATGAACAGAAGATAGATGGGTAGACAGGTGATGACATTTGCTAATGCTGTAAGACATGAATGGTAGAATCTGTGTCGTGAGTAAACAGGTGTTTGCTGTCTAGGAGAGGACACGGACAGCTTGCACCTTTACCGAGAACAAGAGACTGGAGGATGAGCCACCCAGTCCCCCCACTTACCCACAGCCATGTAGTGGGCATCAAAGCCCGTGAACCGCTCCTCATTGGAAAAATCTGACCGGAAAGTGACGGACATGAAGGAACCAGGGGAGAGAACCACTTCTTGGCCGGGGGTCTGCTCTGTGTCCGTGGTCTCCCTGCCACAAAAGGTTGCCAGCACCTGGTCTTCAGTTTCTACCTTTGAGGTCAAAGTGAAAGGGGACAAGATGAGCAGCTTCACACTTAGCTTCTTTCCTGATCTCGTGGAAGAAAGAGACTAGGCAGCCTGGGAAGGGGGATGAGAGATTCTTAGACTTGAGGAGAGAGAGACTACAGCTTAAGTCAATGTGGCCATCTGATCAGTTGCATTCACATTGTTTAGTTCCACAGGGGTAGCTTGATATTTGTCATTCTTGTTGCCAGTCAAGTGGCTTAGTTACTGAAAATAACTCAATGTTAAAATTCCAAAGAGTTAGATAACCCTGCAGATGGGTTCTCCGTACAACAGAAACTTATCACATTTCCAAAGAAAAAAGACTGTATGTACAATATAAATCAATCATTGGGCATCCAGTGTGCCTGCTGCTGAGCAGAGCATGAGATGGGGATGATGAGAGAAGAGGAAGACTGAGAGCCATGCACAGGAGAGCAGTGTTCAGAGTGAGGAACGGACCCAGACAGAGCTAATGTGCAGCCTGGTAAGTGCTCCGATAGGAGCAGCAGGAAGAGGTGAAAGATCCCCACCAGGACCCCGGCTACAGGAGATTAGGACTGCTCTTTATAGCTGTTTCCTCAAAGCATGCAATAGCATGTGGCACATAGCAGTTGTCCAATGAATATTTGTTCACAAGAACTAAAAGAGCAGACCTATTCTGAGAGCTATGAGAAGCCAGGGTGCCTGTGAAGACTGTAGGAAGAGATGTACTGGGAAGGAAACGTACAAAGTAGATTATGGCTGATGTTGAATGCCATTAATTCTGTAAGTGGAAGACATGGAAAACTTTTGAACAGGAAGTCGTGTGATATAATAGATAATCTTAAAAATATAAAAACTGCTTATTGGTATCATACAGAAAATGTGCGTGTGTGTGTGTGTGTGTGTGTGTGTGTAAGATAGATGGAAACTTTGCATACTTGCCGATAAAATTCCCGGCTTTGGAAGAGCTAAAGGTTCTGCTTGAGCTCAGAAAGTGAAGCAGGAATTCTACATGGTTGCCTAAAGCTGATTTTGTGTGTCTGGTTTGGGAAGCACAGTGTAGAAGCTGGTTGGTAGAGTTATTTTTGACAATGAATACTTGACCTACTCTATCATCTTACACCTAACTCAATTTTTTAAAGCTTGCATTTGTGTTTGGGATCTCTGGGCTGATGTTTTAGACACAATACAGGCAAAAATCTTCCCAGGAATGATTGTTTCTGTCTTTCAAAGTCACTGAAAGAAAGTTCACAAAGGCTGTCCATCTCTGCTAGCTTCCAATAAATTTGTTGTTTTGTTCATTAGCTTAGTATGCCAGAAGTATCTTGACATTTGACACTTCTGTTTTGAAACTAATGGTTTATTTATTTAAAATAAGAAGGAGTTTTAGAGAAAAACAATTTGCCCTGGCAACAAAACACAAGGACAATTAATCACTAACGCTGGGAATTGAAATGTAAACAGAAAATGAGATCATGGCTTTGCTATTTTTTCTCTGCTGATACCAGTGAACTCACACCAGTCTTCTTATGCAGAATGTGCCCTTCTGCACACAGCTGAAAATTCACTTCCTCGACTGTCCCAGCTGCTGTATTATTTTGGTTAACTGGTTAAAAGTTCACCTAACTGTAATTTTTTAAAACGATTTTCTTTTAGGTACAATATTTCTTTTTAAAAAGTGCTTTATCTGGGTGCGGTGGCACACGCCTGTAATCCCAGAGGCTTAGGAGGCTGAGACAGGAGGATCAGGAGTTCAAAGCCAGCCTCAGCAATAGCAAGGCGCTAAGCAACTCAGTGAGACCCTGTCTCTAAATAAAATACAAAATAGGGCTGGGGATGTGGCTCAGTGGTCAAGTGCCCCTGAGTTCAATCCCCAGTACCCAGCCCCCTAAAAAACAAAAGTGCTTTATACAAAGCCCTGTTTGAAGTGAAGCCTGCTTCAAACCCTTTCTTAATAATCCATGGACATTGTTATGTACTTTAACTATCACATTCAAAGAAGACCGCTGGGGATGCTGAATTATGTAATTCTTTCCGTGCATGAAATTACTGCCGAACAACACGCCTTTACAATCTTATATCTTCTTTATGTATTATTCCATTTCCTGTCTTTTTATTTTTAATATGTTATGAGTTAGAAACCACTTGAGTTGCTCTTCTTGGAACTTCATTAAAAGGAGACTAAATAAATAGAGAGTGAGGGCTTGGGAAAGGGATTCTTCTGTGCATAACTGCATGAATCATGTGCTTCTATCTTGGTGACCTCAGTTTTGGAGTAATGTAAGTTGCATGAACCTGGTAGATGGAGGTCTTATGTCCTATTCCTAATTCTACCTTAGACTACTCTATGATCATCCCACCCCTAGCTCTAGTTATCCACCTGTAAGTCAGGAGTTGGAACTTGCTAAACTCTAGATTCCCTTCCAAGTTGGATATATTAGCATTCTTACAAATCGTCTTTGTTTTTTATTAAATCAACCAACAATGAGCAAGAGTTTCAACACAGATCGCTGCTGCTTATGAATGAATTTAAGCTTATTTATGATTTATATCTATGTGTTATGGTTTAGATAATAGGTGTCCCCCCAAAGCTCATGTGTGATACAAGGCAAGAAGGTTTAGAGGAGAATTGATTGGTTTATGAGAGCCTTAACCTAATCAGTGCATTAATCCTCTGATAGAGATTACTGGGTATAACTGTAGGCAGGTAAGGTGTGGCTGGAGGAGGGTCATTGGGGGCTTGCTTTTGGGGTACACATTTTGTAACTGGAGAGTGGAATCTCTCCCTCTCTCTCTCTCTCTCTCTCTCTCTCTCTCTGCTTTCTGATCATCATGTGAGCCCATTCCCTTCACTCTTTCTGCCTCATCTTGAGCCCCAAGGAATGGAGGTGGCTGTCTATGAGCCAAGACCTCTGAAACCGTGAGCCCCTCAAATAAATTATTCTTCCTCTAATTGTTCTTATCAAGTCTTTTAGTCACAGCAGTGAAACAGCTGACTAATATACAATGTAATATAAAATTGATTATCAAAGAATAGTCATGCCTTGAGCATTAATAATTCCAGCCACAGCAACTTCTTTCCTCTAACTTGACATCCCCAAGTAGTGCCTAGAGCATGGACACTTTCAAATGAAACTTACCAGAGGTTATTTTAATTAAATAGAGACCTACTGAGGGTCTGTGATAAATATCTGTCCTCCTCATAACTTTTGGGATTAAGGACTTTTTCATGATGACAGATAAACACACTGCCTGCAGAGCCAAACTATTCCAGAGGACAAGGAAGCATGTCCCCGCTGAGAGCCATGACAAAACTGAGTCATACAAACTTGAGAAGCAGAGGAGAAAGACAGTAGCCTAGAGCCATAGGAATTCAATCTGAAGCCCAGAATAGAGTGCTGGGATATCAGGGCTGGCAGGGACCTTGAAGAGTTATTTCAATCTCCCTTCTTCTAGAGGAAACCGAAGTTCAGAAATGGCAGAGTGACTTACACAAAGGTAAACAGATTATCTGAGCATTTTCTGATGTCAATTTTGCTTTTGGAACTGTTTTTAGACTGGGGAAAGGAGCCACAAACCCAAAGAGTACATGACAAAAGGCATAGACACTTGACCAAACAATTTTCCTGGCTCAAGAGCCTCTCGAAACCTTATCTTGGGTGCATGGATTGTCTCCCAAAGAGGATGTGGCTCAGTGACAGCCTTAACCTAAACAGAAGGGTCACTGCCCTGGTTAATATTCACATGTCCTGCTATGAATTATAAAATTCTACAAAGATCATTTGTCTCTGAGTAGGGATGAAGGATTGATCCCTGACTTCTATTTGGATTCTCCCATCTCTGAGGTTATCATATCAACATAGAGGGAACATACCTATTGAAGATGTAAATTTATAACAATAGAGAACCATGTGGCTGAGGATCACAGACACCCTTTCTATTTCTTTTTGTGGGCAACTGCATCCTTGCAGACTATAATTATTGAGGGCACCAGTATGTGGTTGTATGTAGTGAATTTGTTTTCTTTTAGCTCCATTTGACAAATATTTAGGTACCAAGTTCTTTCTGAACTATCATGTGGAGGATGGATAAAATATTACTTTTTATAAAAAAATCACGTATAAAGCATTAGTTTTATAAGCATATCCCCTGCCTCTGGGAATGTGACATTTAGTAGGAAAATAAGATAAGTACTCAAATGTGTATATTAGAGTATTATTGGTAAATAGTAACTACAATGATAGATGGGAAGGCTCAGGGGCTTAAAGGGAAAAACTGCATCCAGATGAAGGGGATCAGAAAACACATAGAGGCTGAGGATGTAGCTTAGTGATTGTTGTGTTTTTCCAGCACATGCAAAGCCCTGGGTTTGATCCCCAGCACCACCAAAACCAAAATCAAACAAAACAAAACAAAACACACACACACACACACACACACACACACACATTTTGGGGAAAAAAAGTCCTCTGAGCTAAGGAATAGCAGGTGAGTAGGATTTATCAGGTAGGAAGAGTAGGTGGAGGATTGGAGTGGTGGGGAGAACAGAGGGAATAGTGAAGTCTTGGGGTATCCAGAGTCTCCACAAAGCTCCATTGTCCCCTGCTCCAAACACCTGGTATAGGAGAGGGGCTATATTGAAGGTAGAGAGCTGGGAAGCAGACCTCAGGATGAGAAGGCAGAGTCTTTGTTTTCCATGAGTTTTCTCAAACACAGAGCTCCCATGCAAAACTGAGGCAAGGCAGCAGAAAGCAGGTCAAGCATCTACGGGAAGCCAGCTGCAGCTGCTCTCTAGAGTTCACATCAGTTCACAGCTACGTTGCCATCTACCAATCAACACCTCCAATGTACAGAGAAAGCAACTCAGGAATTATTGTTTTTATTTCATAGATAAGGAAATTGAAGTCCAGATAATTTAAATGAATTGGGCAAAATGAGTGTGAATCCAGTGAGCGATGAATGCTCTAGTGGTGAATGAACCTCTTTGAGCAGTAGATCCAGGT